GACTTGCCACGGTCTCCAACCCTCCTCCTTTCTCATCCGGGCTTGGGACCGGCCATGGCGGAGTTATTGCCAGTTTCACTAAATTCTAATTTGTTTAAAGTGTAAAATGAGCCTTTCATTGAAGAACAACAATCTGATGTACAAAGCAACTTTGTTTATGTGGCATAGTAGGTATTGATCGATTGTAATATCGAAGCTACAGTGTTACATATCCATAAGAAGCTCTTCGTGAGCTCCGAGTTGGGAATGTCATACATGTCGGTATGGAAGCTAATTGATGGCTTTCGTAATGTTCAAAAGAGAAGAGTCTCGAAATTTACTAGGAACAACTTGCTGCCTGTCATCAACCTCAGTTGTGAGTAACTATCATAATGGTGATAGTCTTAATACTTTCTCTGGGTAGCGAACAATTACGAAAGGGCGCAATGATGCTATATATTGCATATAAATTTTGCCATCTAAACAAAGTTATTTTACACATCAGCTCATTGTTCTTCCATGAAAATTCGACTTTAAACTTCAAACAAATTTAAATTTAGTGAAATAATTAGGCAATTTTGCATCTAATTTGACAGACGCTTTGTGTTTTTACTTTTCTGCTTGTGGGGGATATTAATATATGAATAATGAACATATGATGATGAACGGAATCTTAGAACCTCCAAAATTCATTAGTTTGGCAGAAGTTGAATATTATGCTCACGGAGAGCTTCTCATAGATACGTAACTTGCTAGTTTTTATGTTACAGTTGATGGAGAGGACCACCGTCCAATCATATATCATCAAACGCGCGCTACAGGACTGTACGTTGACAACGACTATCGATCGGCGCCGAAACCACCCACACCGAATTGTCCCATTCCGCCCTTTCGCTTTCATGGCGAACTGAAGTTCTTCTTCAAAAGAAATGCAACATATAATCCTTGTTTCATTTCAAGCCTCAACCTCCTTTTTTCTTCGTTATGAAATGCGTTGACTTGTTTTATGGCTTTTTCGACCAGCGAAATGGAATACACAACTCACTGAAGTTCGTTTGACTACAGTGTTGCTTCAAAGGAAAAGTTAAACTAACGTTGACTTATATCAGCATGCCAGCACAAGGCGCAAGTCATTCGACAGTCGTTCAGGTTTAG